GAACACTTAGCTGTGCTCAGAGGAATCTGTACAAGATCAAGACGCCGAAGATTACACGTAAAAAAATGGCTTATTGTACCAGAGTAATAGAAGAGAAAAGAAATGTTCTGAATTTTCATATAGACAATGGATAAATTGTGGTATACCCATTCAAAGGAATAATACACAGAGCTTTAAATAAATGGCCTAAGAATATCAACATGGATAAGGAAAAAAATCATAAGCCTTAGTGCCAGTGAGGATGCAGAAAGTTATAATGGCCATGACTGCCATCCTAAACACAAGAAAAAAGATGCATAAACCTAATGAAATGAATAACCTGGGGAAAATCTTATTTTTAAACCATTCAAATTGTTGTAGATGCAAACAAGTGTACAAACTCCACATTCCAGAGATGGGCAAGTTCTGCTTAGTTAAGTAGGGACAGATTTCCACTCTCCTCCTTTGGGTCATCTGCTGAATCTCAACACTGATGGAAGGAAGATTGGACCTATCACAGAAAGGGAGATTTTGATGGGCTAACGAGATATTGGCAAAGTTTTAAATAGCCTGTGGGTTTGTGTGATGGATTGGAACCTATAGAAGCTCCAAATATAAAGCTAGCTTTCCCTGCCAGCTGATTCTCCTCCCAGAACTTTTGCTGAGCTCATGATAGTGGTGTTCAAACATGGGAGGTGGGTAGAAGGCAGAAAAACATCTCCATAGTTTCATGCAAACAAACATCACTAAGGAAATCAAAGCTATAAATACTTTCAACTATCTTGACCTAAGTGACATTTATAACTGACATATATGTTGACTATAGCCAATAACTACAGAATATATTTATTTCTGTCAATTGCACAAAGAATATCCATGAAATAGACCATATGTTAGGCCATAAAACAAGTTTCAATAAATTTTACAGGATTGAAATCATACAGAATATATTCTCTGGCCACAAACTTATTAAGTGACAAATCAATAAGATTGAGAAAATACTGAAACTTTTGGAAGTGAGCCAACACACTTCTAAATAATCCATGGTGTTTCCAAGAGAAATCAAAAGAGAAATTAGAAAATATTTTCAAATTAAAAAATATTAAGATAGCTTTTTCAAAATTTGTGAGATATAACCAAAGCAGTTCTTACAGGGAAATTTATAGCTTAAATGCTTATATTACAAAGAAATATGTAAAAATCAGAGCGCTAATCTTAATCTAGGAAAAGAAGAGTGAATTTAACTGAAAAAATTAGAAGAAAGGTAATAATAAAGGTAAGTGAGAAATTAATAAAATTGAAAAGAGATGTATAATAAAGACCATCAACAGAGCCAAAAGCTCTTTCTGTTAGTTATATAGTTAGTTTAATTGATAAACCACTTGCAAGATCTACAAGGAAAAAGATAGAAAAAAATCCAAATTACAAATATATCAACACCTGGAATGAAAAAAATTACATTCCTACAGATCCTACAGACATTAAAAATACATTAAGATGATATTATAAAGAATTTTGTGCCAGCAGATTGGACATGTTAGATGAAATTCCACAGTATTTCATTTGGTATTTCTTTGTAACAAATCACCCAAAAGCTTAGTGGTTTAAAACTATAGCCATTTAATGATCAGTCACAGCTCTGGGAGTTGATTAAGCTCAGCTGGGTGGTTCTCAGTGAATTCTCTCATGTGGTTGCAGAAAGATGGCAGCTGGGGCTGGGATCCTTGGAGGGTCAGCTGGGACACTGAACCACTCTCCGTCTGCATTGCAGTTCCAGGGGCTGTAACGTGGCTTATGTGGTCTCAACAGCAGGGAAGACAGACTTCTTACCTGATGGCTCAAGACTTACAGGAGCATGTTTTCCAAGAGGAAAGTAAAAGCTGCAAAGACCTAGCTCAGAAATTGTGCAGCATCCATCATTTCACCACATTCCATAGGAGCCCTGGTGGCACAGTGGTCAAGCACTCAGCTGCTAACTGAAAGGTTGACTTTTGAACCCACCCAGCCAATCTGTTTCCTAAAGATTACAGCGAAGAAAACCCTATGGGGCACTTCTACTCTGCAACACATGGGGTCGCCATGAGTCAGAACTGACTCCATGGAAACTGGTTTGGTGTTTTTTTTTTTTTTTGTCTCCATGAGATGAATGGCAAATACTTTGCACCCTTTTTTAATCTACCCCATATAATTTATCAGTACTGAAATAGACACAAAAGATAGACAATCCGCATAGTCCTACATCTGATAAAGAAACGGTTACTATTAATAAAATCATCCCTCAAATGAAATTCAAGGCTTAGTTGGTGTCTCAGTCATCTGGTGCTGCTCCAACAGAAATGCCACAAGTGGATGGCTTTACAAAGAGAAATTTATTCTCTCACAGTCCAGTAGGCTACAAGTCCAAATTCAGGGCATCAGCTCCAGGGGAACACTTTCTCCAACAGCTCTGGAGGAGAGTCCATGTCATCAGTCTTCCTTTGGTCTGGGAGCTTCTCTGCGCAGGAACCTCAGGTCCAAAGGATGCGCTCTGCTCCCAGCACTGCTTTCTTGGTGGTATGAGGTTCCCCTGTGTCTCTGCTCGCTTCTCTCTTTTATATCTCAAAAGAGATTGCATTAAGACACTGATCTTGTCAACCTCAGCACAGTGACAGAATTTACAACACATGAGGAGATCACATATAATCTCATCATAGTGGTAGAGTTCACAACACATAAGGACATCACATCAGATAACACAATCATACAGTACTAGGAATCATGACCCAGCCAGGTTGCTACACACATTTTCTGGGGGACACAATTCAATCCATGACAGTTGGCTTCAATGTTAAATAACAATAAATATTTTCAATCCGTGTGGAGTTGATTTTTATTTTTGGTTTGAACAGATGTCAAGGTAAATTTTCTCCAATAGACACCTAAATGACCTAGCAACATTTTTTTTTAAAGATCATCTCTTCCCAAAATGCTCTGCAGTGTCACCACAGACCAGGGCATTGTATTTGAGAGGGGATCTGTTTCTAGAATTTCTATTCTGTTTCATTGTCTAGCTTCCTGCACTTGAGCCAATATCATGCCATATTACCTAACATAGATTTATAGTAAGTCTTGTTGTCTTGTAGTGAATTTCCTCCAGTTTTGTTCTTATTTTTCAAAATTTCCATAGCCAATCTAAGAACTTAGTATTTACATAGAAAGTTTAAATTCAGCTTGACAATTCCCTGCCACCTAAAAAAAAGAAAAGAGAAGAAACGTAACGAAACACAAAGAACAAGCACCCAGGCAAGCAAACGAAACAGCTTGCCGTGATTTTCAGTGGAAATTTACCAATTACAGATTTGGGGAGAATGAACATTGCTGAAATATTTAGTCTTACAATTCTCAAATTGGGAATTCTCTTCATTTAGTTAGTTTTATTAATTTCTCCCAATAATGTTTTATAGTTTTCAGTATAATAATCTCACTCCTCTTTGTTAGATTTATTTTTCGATATTTGATATAATCGGATGCTATTGTGAATGGTATCATTTTCTTGACTTTGTTTTCTATTTATTTCTGGTAGAGCAGAATATCATTGTTTTAGGTATACTAGCTTGTATCCAGCAACATTGTTAAATTTACTTATTAAATCTATGATTTTGTCTACAGTTTGTATTTTCTAAGTACATGATCATTTACAAGATATAGACAGTCCCTGGGTTAGAACGTCAGTCCAACCTACAACCCATAGTTGTTATCTAAAATTTATTCTGAATCTCAGAGGTTACATTTATTTTAATATCTTTAATAATTATCTAAAAGTAGAATTATGTATTTAAAATTATATGATTACATCAAAGGGTGCAATTCATAGTTGTTCACTAATTTCCTATTTCCTAAATACTCTATAATGTATTAATTAGCAAAGTTCTTATATCATTCCCTAGGATAAAGCAAGGGAAGAGGATCAGTTCAGAAGAATGTCCCCGGTTAAGTGAGAAAATCATAATGGGAACTGAGAGCAAGGGGCTGAACACTTTCCCACACAAATATTGATTATTCTACAACAGACTTGTTGTGCCAAAGGCTGACTCTGAGTCCTTTGTTGATCTCTAAGCCCCTTGTATCCTTTGATTTGAACTGTGCACCTTTTTACATTGTTAGATTAAGTGCTGTACAAAGGTACCTACAAGACCCTCCATTCCACATAGATTGCCTCCCATTTATTCTGGAGGTGCCACTAAACTCAGTGACAGTATCAGGAGACAAACCGGAAAAATCTTTTCACTCAGGTTAAGTTACTGAGTAACTTTCAATTTCTTTTGTTTATCAGAAACACCCCTACCTCTAAGGAGGTACAGACTATACTCTCCAATCAAAAGCTATAATTCTTTCAGATTCTCAGTTACCAGAGAATGCTGCTTTTTGAGAAGGTTCCTATGTGTCCAAAGAATCACAGCAATTTCCAGTATTGTGATTCCTGAAAAAATCATCATGTCTTCTTTTGCCTGTGAGAAGTCAACTTCCCCAAATCTACAGGACCAAGTGATGCTAAGATTAAAGATTAAAGATCTCCTGACTTGCAGTCATCTTTCTTCCACCACCTCTACTCCTAAACACACTCACGCATAAGCTTGTCCCAACAGTTCTGCCTCCAACCACAGAAGAGAGGAAGGCTGCTAAAGGGCTTAAACTTGTGTGTGCACATCACTGACCAGCACAAAGCTGGCTCACAACAGGGGCCACTTAAAAGCCTTTAGATGCAGCTGGATCAAATCTTTAAAGTACTAAATTGAAATAATCTTAATGAAGCAAAGCCTAAATTTCAAAAAAGGACCTATAGGCTAAATCATTGCCTAGCAACTGATGATGCTATTCCTCTTGGATGCTGATTGGTTCTCAATACCTAGTTTAACCAGTCCAGAGGCAATGCAACAAGTTCCTTGGTTCCTATTATTTGCGATGTGAGTGGAGGAGGGTCAAAGGCCTCACAGAGGGAGGTTTGCCCACTCCTCTTACCCTGTGCTCTCCTGTTCTCCAGCATGGTGTGCTTGTGGTTCCCCAGGGGCACCTGGATGGCCGCTCTGACACTGATACTGATGGTGTTGAGCCCTCCTCTGGCTTTGTCCAGGGACACCTGATGTAAGTGCACACCTTGGGCGGTAGCGATTATGGGGTGAGGTAAGGTAGGGAAAGAGTTAACTTTGTCACTGTGTACAGGCTGTGTGAAGTCATGATCTTTAAAAAAAATTGTGACATTTTCTTCTGTGATTATCTCTCTTTATCGTATGGGTCCCAAATACTTTCCATAATAAATGACTACAGAACTCTCCCTGAGAAAGTGCCAGTTAGCTGAGACATGAATGTTGAGAAGAAGCCAGCCATGTGAAGATCTAAGGAACAAGTGCTACAGGGAGAGGGGACTACAGGAGAAAGATGTAAATGTGGTAAGATGTTTGCTGTGTTTAACGTTGAGAGAGAAGGCTAGAGTGACTGGAGCATAGCGAGCAAGGGGGAGAGTGGCATAAGATGAGGTTGAAGAGGGAGTCAGGGGCCAAATCATTTAAGGCCCTGACAGCCATGGTAAGAAATCTGAATTTTATTTAAAGAGATAGGTGAAGTCACTGGAGGGTTATATGGAGGGGTAATTTATATTTATTTTTTAAAATAGTTCTAGCTACTATGTGTAGAATGGATTGTAGGGTTCACAAACGGAGGCAAGTAGACAGTTTAGGAACATTGTAGAATTCTCCAGGGAAGTCATGCTTGTGGCTTCACTTAGTGCTGTAGTGATAAAGAGAGAGAAAAGTGGACAATTTTGGGATACATTGGAGATGACTTATTGATGGATATAATGTGAGTGGTGAGGGAAAGAAGAAAATCAAGTTTTCTCTAAGGATTTTGTCTGAATAACTAGGGGGATGTTGGTGCACTTTATTGAGCCAGGGAAGATCAAGGGAGGAAACGATTTGAGGCGGGAGGCTATGAATGAAAGTTTTGTTTAAGTAAAGGTTTGATATGTCGTTTTGACATTCATGAGACGTTGTCAAGAGATCAACTAAATATATGAGATTTGAAGTTATGGAGAGTCTAGGGCTGGAGATATACAAGTTGGTGTCATCAATACATGGTCCATATTAAATGCTAGAATGTAGAGGAGGTTACATAGGGAGAGACAATCTGGATAGAAAACAAGAGGGTCAAAGGCCAAACACAGAGGCATTTTAATGTTAAAAGTTGATCTAAGAAGAATGAGTCAGCCAAGGAGACTGAGAAGGAGCACCAGTAATGCTGGAGGAAAACCAAGAGAATGTGATGATACATAGAAGCCAAGGAAAGTAAATTGGTTACAAGAGGGAGGGAGTGGCCAGCTGTGGGGAATACCACTAAGAAGTGGCTGAGGTGAGAACATGACAGAGAAGTGAGCACTGGGTTTGGTGGACTTGACATTGGCAGATTCAGTGGTATATTCAGGTTGGGGACTGAACTGTTTGAAGAGACAACAGGATTATAGATGACTCTTTCAAGTAGCTGGCCTCAGGAAAGGACTGTGCTCTGGGATCAGAGAGTCAGCTAGACTTCAAATATAAGAATAAACAGGCTTGAAGATAAGCTGGGAGGAACTGAGAACCAGAGATGTTTAGACAATAGCAAGGAAGCACTAGAGTGTCTTTGTATGCAATGTTGACTGGTTAGGTGCAAAATCAGAACAAGCAGTTATTAGTGACCTAAAATATACCAATCGCTGCCCTAGGTGAAGAGGACAGAGTGATGAGCATAACAAATCTGGTCTGTGTCAGCATAAAGCATGGTAACATTGTACAGTTACTGTGTACAAGGCCTGCACATGGAAGGGTTGAAAATTCAGGTGTGTAGCAGAGTTCCTATGTGACACTGGTGTACTGACTACAGTACAGTTTGGGAGAACATGGGATGAAAAGGGGGAAGTGAAAAAGTCTAAGTATTTCAAAAGTTTGATAAGTTTAGAAGATGTGGTAGTCAATATTACTGAAAGCTGCTGAGAAATTGAAATGATGATTGAGAACAATCTATTGAATTGAGGAATTCTGAGGTCACTGTCAATCTTTACTAAGAAGGACACTGGCACGGGAGCTGTGGTACAAGGCACAGAGCATGTAATTAATCACTTGCAGGAAATTAGAATAGTGTCCCGGTGAAGTGCTAGGACGCCAGAGCCAGATTTCCTGAGTTCTACTCCTTGCTTCACCTGCCATGAAATATTTGACTCTGAGCAAGTCATTTAGCCCCTCTGTGCTTTAGTTCCTTCAATTGTAAGATGAGGAAAATAATATCTCCTTCATGGATTTGTTTTGGGGATTAAAAGACATGATATATGTAAAGCCTTAGGAATAGTGCCTGCCACACTGTACTCTTACTTCAGTGCAAGCTATTATTTTTCTCTCCATCCACATACCCATGGATGCTACGTCCAAAATAGCTCTGAAATCTGCCCGCCACCTTCTAGGTACCACTTGACTGCCACTGTTCAAGCCACCATCATCTCGTGCCTGGATTATTCTCGTAGCCCCCAAACTCATCTCTTTTCTTCCACTCTGGATTTTTTCCATATCCAGTTCATTCTATTCTCTGTTGTCAGTGATGTCTGAAAATATACGCAGATCTAGAATGCCATTTCTGAAATTCTTAGAGCCAGATGTCCTTTGGAAATTGGAATTTTGGATTTTAAAAATTTATTTTCCCAATTAATTACAAACACCTTCAGTGGAATAAAGAGAGGTAACCTATAAGCGAACACATCAATATTTCTACACCCAAACCTATGAATACTCACACTTATAGAATAATAGCAATATGTAATATTGTAGCTAATGTTCATAATAAGAAAATAGCAAATGATATAGTGGGATAAATATAGAATAAATATTCCTATACATTTTTCTTAGAGAAAATATTCAGTAATACTTCAGACTTACATATGACTCACATGAAGCTAAATACTAAGCTAATACATACCCATAATTATTACATCCTGTTGCTTGACGATCTCAGAGTAGTAGGCAAGTCAGAGTCATTGTCTTCATCATCAAGTTGCGTTTGGCAATTCATTTTTTCAAGGAATGAAATTCACAGAGGATGAAGCACCACTCACGAGACTGTCGTTTTAAAGACTCCCTGCAGCACCATTGCGGTTCTGTGTCAGCAGTGTCTCCCTAACTGTGGAAGCTGCGATACTCTCCAGCTCCATGGTGAATGCACTTGTTCAAGGCTACTAATTAACTGATGCCCTATTCTCGCCAAATGGTCCTTGGGGACCTTTCCACCTGTGCTCTCCATGCCACCACTGCCATGCTCCCATCACTGCAGGAATGCCCAACAGGGGCCTCAGGGTCAGTGGTCGGTGTGTTTTTGATGTCAGCTTCCTTTGACTTATTTAAACTTTTACCTGATAAACTTCCATCATACATTGAGGTTTGATGTAATTTTCTTTTCCTTAGTGACATGATAGTTTTTAAAATCTTCATCTGCTAGCTCATTTGCAAAGTCAGCATAGCCCAAAGTCTGTGCCAAACATTTCTTAAGGTTGATTTATTAATTTTTTAGCATCTTAACAAGCACTAGCAATTGACTTTTTCCAGAAAGTTTTGGATTCCTTGACATCTGTAAACTGCAGCAAGTATAGAGTTTAAAAGTGTTTATAGTGCTGAGCTGCTAACCTAAAGGTCGGTTGAAACCTACGAACTGCTCTGCAGGAGACAGATGTGACAATCTGCTTCCATAATTATTGTTGTTGCTATGTGCCGTTGAGTCAATTCCGATTCGTAGAGACCCTATATGACCTTGTAGAACTGCCCCAAAGGGTTTCCTAGGCTGAAGTCTTTATGGGAGAAGATCGCCAGGTATTTTCTCCCACGGAGCAGCTGGAGGGTTCAAACTGCCAGCCTTTCGATTAGCAGCTTAGCACTTAACCATTGTGCAACTGGGGCTCCTTCCATAAAGATTACAGCCTTGGAAACCTTATGGGGCAGTTCCACTCTGTTCCATAGAGTTGCTATAACTTGTAATTGACTAAACGGCAGTGGGTTTCTTCACGGGACAAAAGAGTCCTTGGACACAGGCTTCAACACAGATGTATCACTGGGAGAAATTAAAAGCCATAAACTTTACTTCTTACACAAAGTTCAGGAGGAGTGTGTGTGGAGCAGTTGTACAGAGACAATAAAATTCTACAGTTTTCTCCCATTTCAATTGAATCGACAGCAGCGGGTTTGGTTTTTTGTTAAAATGAATTTAAGCCACTGATACAAAGTGATTAATAAACCAGTCAGAAATCGTACCTCTGGATATCCATGCTTTCTTTTTTGAAAATTAATGCACAAGTAAAATACCTACTCCTTTCAGACATCCTGGATTTTGGCTTTTTCCATTGATTGCCCCCATTTTTGTGTTCATTGTGGTGAAAATATACACAAGAAAACAGACACCAATTGAACAATTTCTGCATGTAGAATTCGGTGACATTGAGTACTGTTCACTTTGTTTCAGGAGAACTTGTAGCATTAGCACACCTGTTGTTAGAATCCATAATAGCTTTTTCTACTCTCTCCTTAGACATTATGAATTTTTTGTTTCTTTGTTTTTAAGAATCCCGCCCCAGTACAGATCTTTTTTTCCAGAAAAATAAATTTGTTCTTTACTAAAGTTTTCATCAGATGTAATTTGGCACAATTTTCCGTGAATTTTCATCTACTTCATAATTAACATTGAGTTTTTCACCACAGAGTTTTTAGATAGTTTTCACCAGTGGTTCTACCCAGGGACAATTTTGTCCTCAGGAGGCACTTCGCAATGTCTGGGACATTTTTCTTTGTGACAACAGGAGAGGCTATTGAAATCTAGTGGGTAGAGACCAGGGATGCTGCTAAACATCCTACAGTTGCCTAGGAGAGCCCCCATCCTCCACAACAAAGAATTGCTCAGTGGAAAATGTCAATAGGGCCAAGATTGCAAACACTGGCTTACCCTGGGTTGCTTCTAAAAGTTCTAGACTCACATGTTATATATGTACACACCTTCCGGTTCACTTTTTCATGGTTTATTTTAGCTTGTTTCCCTGCAAAAATGCTAGAGAATTTACCACATTGTAGTTACATTAATTCAATCAATGCGAGATCAAGATCTTAACTTTTTTTCTGCCTTATGCAATGTTTTTCAATATTTCATGAGTTCTTAGTCACCACCATCTCTGCTAACTTTCAACAATTTCCCTTTATGTTGTTAAGTCATACATGGTGGTGACTGCCACGAGTAGTTTTCATTATAACGCCTCGTATGCCTGCAGTAATTCTACGTTCTATACTTTAATTATATCTGATGTGTCCATATATTTTTATCATTTTAAACTAGAAGATTATCCTTTAACTTTTTTTTTGACATCTTTACAGCTCATAATTCAATTAAACTTAAAAAAAAAAAAAAAAAACCCAGAAGAATATACAGAAGTATGTATGGTACATCAGAGCTCTGAGACACAGCTAACCCCTTACCTTATCAGGTCAGATTTGCCAAATGAGTTTTGGCACTGGCTTAATTTTTTTTCTTACTAAGATCTTTGGATTTTGAAATATAGGTGAGGGATAGGAGACCTTTGTTGGAGCATGGTTTAAACCTGCTTAAAATGATAGTTTCTCATTTCCTATTACATTTAGTATAAATCCAAAATCCTAACATCACCTACCAGGCTTTTAGGTACCTGGCTCAATATGATTTCTCCAGCCTGATCTTTTCTGCTCCTTTCCCCTCACTCTCTGTGCTTCAGTAAATTCTTTTTTTCTGGTTTCTTGAAGAAGTTCATCGACTCTTTGGAGGTTTTGCACATTATTACCTTTACCTGAAATGTGCCTCCTTTAGCCCAAACTCACACGCCCCACTCTTCTCTAGCTCACGTCAACTGAATATCTCATGTCATCTGTCTGAGTTATCTAGTGCTGCTGGAACGGATATACCACAGGTGGGTGGCTTTAACAAACAGAAATTTATTTTCTCACAGTTTAGAAAACTAGATGTCTGAAATCGGGGTGTCGGCTCTAGGGGAAGGTTTTCTCTCTCTGTTGGCTCTGGAGGAAGGTTCTTGTCTCTTTTGAATTTCTCTTCCTTGGAGAGCTTCAAGTGGCTTGGCATCTCTCTTCCACCATCTCTGCTTGGTTGCTCAAACTGCTCTTTTTATATCTCAAAAGGTAGTGACTTAAGACACAACCTACAATAATACTGTGTCATTAATATAACAAAGAAAACTCATTAGGATTTACAACATATTTTAGGGGGGACACAATTCAATCTATAACATCATCTTAAATGTCACTTTTCAGAGAGTCCTTCCTTCTCTGGCACCCTAAGGAGATCTGGATCACACCATTAATCCTCCATAGGGAATGCCACACTTTTCCTTTTTTGGCAATTCTCACTCCTGTGTAAATTCTTGTGTTTGGCTTTTATCTCTCACTTTCACCACAATTTAAGCTCCCTGAGCAGATGGGAGAAGTCTGTTTTTCCCTCTTTTGGATTCCCAGGGGGCAGCACAGGGCCTGCACAGGTCAGGACTAAAGAAGTGTCTACAGAATAAAGGAGGTGGGAAGTGTTTAGAGAAGCAGTGATGATCTGCGGGAGGTGAGAGGAGAGGAGGCTTCAGGAAAAGGTGGCGCGGACGGCAGGGATGGGGCGAATCCTCATCTGGCTCCACCTTGGAGGTCTCCAGCCAAGCGTCTCAGCAGGAGCGGATCAGAGGACCTGGGGACAGGCGGTGCCCCCCGCCCTGCGCGGCCTCGGTCCGGCTCCGGCGGCTGAGAGATGGAGCCGCTCCGGCGGGGGGGTCGCTGTTGCGGGCGGAGGCCTCGCGCCGGGGACCCCTGCCTGGGGGGCTTCGCCGTCAGGTTCTTCCCGAGAGGCTGCCCGTGACGGGATCTTCATGTCCCCACAGCGCACTTCCTGGAGCAGGCTAAGCATGAGTGTCATTTCACCAACGGGACGGAGCGGATGCGTTTTGTGCAGAGATACATCTATAACCGGGAGGAGCACGTGCGCTTCGGCAGTGACCTGGGGGAGTTCGTGGCGGTGATGGAGCTGGGGCGGCCGGAGTGGGGGCATAGAGACAGGTGGGTGAGTGAGGAATTGTGAGGAGTCCTGAAGTTATGAGGATGCATGTGAGAGTGTGTTTTGTTGGAGAAATGGTGAGTACTGTGTCAGTGATTGTGAAAGAGGAGAGAGTGTGTGTGAGGTGTGTGTTAGAGAGGGTGGACCTGTGAGGTGCGGGTGTGCCAAAGAGACTGTGTGTGTGTGTGTGTGTGTGTGTTGTGTGTGTGTGTGTGTGTGTGAGTGTGTGGTGTGGGCCTGGGGTGTGAGGACGGAGGACGGGAGCCTGTGGGTGTGCGGGGTGTGGGTGCAGTAGGGAGGCCTTCGGGTTGTCCTCGGGGCCACTGTGGGGAGAGCTGAGGGGGGAGGGGAGAAGGGACAGGAAACGTTTGGGATAAAGGGAGGGTTGTCCCCAACTGTCCTTAACACAGGACCTTCTCAGCCATGAAGTCCCGGAAATAAAAAGGGTGCTGTTTGTTTCTTTGTTTGCATAAGCATTTCACTGAGGAAAAGTACCAGAGTAATTTACTTATTTTTTTGCGGGGTGCAGGTGAAGGAAATTCTGAGGCACCTCTGACCTTTCTGAGGCTTCCTTTAGGTCTAAATTTCGTGCAATTTGGTTGTTTTTTTAATGTCTATATTTTTACATAGTTGAAATACTTATGAAACTAGTTTTTTGAAGTATAATTTTGTACCAACTTACCAATGTTGCAGTTTTAATAATACTAGTAGTATTTAACTAGTTACATATTGTTGCTTTGTATGATTGTAACACAATTTTCCCCATACTCTCCTTTGTTCTTTTTTAAAAATATTGCTGAATATTCGGTGGAAATTCTCTCTTTTTATTTTTAAGTTGTATTTCTTGATTTCTGAGGCTCTAAAATGTTTTTCATACATTTATTGGCCAATTGTACTTACTAGTCTAATCATTATTTATTGACTATCATCTCTAGGTTTCTAGTGTTTTCTCAGAGAAATGGGTTCTCTACAAAGTAGGATTACTAACATGTTGCTGCTGAGTCAGCATTTCCTTCAGTTTGTGGTTTTTACTTTATTATTTTGAATGTTAAAGAATGTAAACATTTTGATTAAATGAGATGTATTGTGAAATTGTTAGTAATGATTTACTATTAATCTTAAATCTACCATTTTGTGGTATTGTGAAAAAAAGTCTCCCAAGGTTCTTTCTTTTTAAAAAATAATTCTATTTACTGAGGTTCTGCTAGTGTCAGGGATTGTCCAAAGCAGTAAGCACATATGTTAATGAGCCCCAGACCCAACCCTGACCTCAAATGTCAGTTTTGAAAGACAGACAGATGTAAATGGGTAACAATTCCAATACTAGATACGTTTGTATTGAAAATGGAGAGGCATTGATCAGATGAGAGTAAATATTAGAACTTTTTTGAATGAATGACTTTCCTTGTGCCTTTATCTCTCCTTCAGACTTCATGCTTTCCTTGGGACTCAACTCACAGAGTTAGAGAATCACCTCTGTCTACACCTACTTCCCAGTAGTAGAACCATTTCTGTGGCCCTAAAGGTGTGAGTGCATCAAGATAGCATTCTAGGACTTCATACTCTCATCTCCCCACCTATCCCACTGCCGTTCCCCAGTCTCTCCATGCTACTTAGAATCACAGTTTCCCTCAGAGTAAACAAGGGTAATAACTAGCTAACGTGTATTGAAGGCTAAGTTCCAGTCACTGTTTTGCAAACTTTAATTACATCAATTCTCACACAGTTTTAGGAGGTAAGTTACCATTATTATCCCTCTTTATAGGTGAGAAAGCTGAGGCACCAAAGCATTAAAAAAAAAAAACAAAACTCTCCCAGGACCGTCTAGTAAGAGGCAGAGCCTGGATTTGAACCCAGCCACCCTGGCACTAAAAATCATGTTTTTCATTATGCACATGGCCTTGCAAGGATTACAACAGTGAATAACTGTTTCAATGATCAAAAAACCCACAATGTTATTAATGTTTCACAAATCTAATGGGTCCATATTATAACAATTAAATTCAAGGCCCCTGACATACTTACTCATTTGGCCACATGGCCAGCTTGAGGGAGGCCTGGCCAAGACGTGGGAGCCTTGGTGGCACAGTGGTTAAGTGCTCAGCTGCTAACCAAAAGATTGACAGTTTGTGTCCACCAGCTGCTCCTTAGAAACCCTATAGGGTCTCTATGAGTTGAAATCCACTAGACAGCAATTTTTTTTGTTTTTTGTTGTTTTTTTTTCCCCCAGGATTTGAGAATGGGATTGAAGAGAGAAAGAATGGCAGCCAAGCAAGAGTTACTCTGTCTTCCTCACTTGTTCCCTCTGCCTTTTCTCTCCTAGTTGAGCCTGTGGTGACTGTGTATCCTGCAAAGACTCAGCTCCTGCAGCACCACAACCTCCTGGTCTGCTCTGTGAATGGTTTCTATCCAGGCCACATTGAAGTCAGATGGTTCCGGAATGGCCAGGAAGAGGAGGCGGGGGTTGTCTCCACAGGCCTGATCCAGAATGGAGACCGGACCTTCCAGATCATGGTGATGCTGGAAACCATTCCTCAGAGTGGAGAGGTTTACTCCTGCCAAGTGGAGCACCCAAGCCTGACGAGCCCTGTCACAGTGGAATGGAGTGAGAAGTTTTCTGACCTCATTAGTTCCTCCCTCACCAAGAACAGGGGCTTTGCTTATCCCCGGCTGTCTGGTTTCTCCTCTTCCCACACCATGTTTTCATTTGCTCCATGTTCTCCTCTCCTTCAGCACAGGTCACTGA